TCCGCATTCCTAGATACGACTCTGTGCTTTAAAAGTGCTTCAAAGTACTGTACTACACTAGTACTACGTATGACCTCCGTACGGAAATGATTGATCAGATATAGATGTACAGAAATTATACTGAAGCACAGTGAAAATTGAGCATCATTCCTGATTGATTTTGACCACAACTTTTAAGATACTCTAATTAGAACTCTCTAAGCATTAAAATCGGATTTCTTTTCGTACACTTCTTCATCAAGAGTACCTGTGTGTCGCCAGCAATTAGCAATCGTCTCCTGTGTGACACCTTGCCATGCTTCCTTCGCCCATTCCAAAGCATGTACTAGACTGATTTCATGCAGTTTGTTGACGCGGCTGCCGAAGTTTGTCCGACTCGTCAGCACTGGCAACCAGCTTGTCAAACTTTTCCACAAGGTAAGTTGCTCGTAAAACACCAATCCTTGCCTTGAAAGCTTGGATGATTCCAGCGTCCTGCGGCTGCAGGAAGGCCGTCGTGTTGGCTGGGAGCATGTGAATGGCCACGTTTGACAACTGCCCCTCCTTACGATGAGCAGACGCATTGTCCAGTAGCAGCAGTACGTGCCTGCGTTGCTCATGCATTGCCTTGTTAAAGCCTTCCAACCAGTGGGCAAACACGTTACTGGTCATCCAGCCCTTTTATGATGCGGCGTACACGACGCCCATGTCTGAAACAGTTGTTGGGCCAAAGCAACGAGGCTTCTTTGCTGTTCCAATGAGGAGCAAAGGCCACTTGGACGACCCATCAGCATTGCTTGTCACCGCGACCGTGATCCACTTCTTCACCTTCTTGCGCCCAGGCATGCTCTTTGTACACACAGCCTTCGATGGAGTGGCACAGTAAAAATACGCGGTCTCATCCAGATTGTAGATGTCGCGCTTGTCGTAGCCGGCTGTGATGGTAAGGAGGTTCCTCCTCCCCTCGTCGACAAATCGCTCGCTTGCAAAGAACGCCTCACCATACACTCGACGGGACTTCAAGCCGAAGCGCGTTTTGAAGCGGTAGAGCCAGCCGTTCGAAAACTTCAATCGAAGCAGTTGGCTGTGTTCGTCGTGGTCGTTTCTGGCCAGCATCTGGTCGCGAATCTGTTTGGCTTTAACGCGCATGGTGGGCCCACTGACAATCGGGACGCTCCATTCCTCGCATTTCCGAATCTATTGTAGCAGTTTGCTTTCTAGCGTCGGCGCATGGGCTCGGTGCAAGGTTTTGTATGCCGTTTGGTTTGTGTGCACTCGGTGGCGACGGTCGTGCTGAGCCACGCTGACATTGATGACTTGGGAGAATCGCGTAAGAGACTAAATGTCTTGCGTGCCCATTTGCGCAGCTCAATCCCTTTGACATCTGGATTGGTCATGTGGTATTCCAACAGAGCCCTCTTGTGCTCAAATGACAGGCGAATCCGGGAAGTTGGTGACGGCATTGATCGTCGTCAGGTGGTTTGTGTCTATTTGAAATTTGAAATGACTACAAATTTATTGATGATTTCCTGAAATGCGATATAAAATTTTATGGGGTATAATGTTTAAGTGGTTCACTATTGCGGGGCAGTACTGTAATACTATTTTGGGTTGTGCAATTGAGTGTTGCAAAACAATTGTACTTTTACACCCCGAAACCCAGAAACCCAAAGCAACGATTCATTGCCATGGGTTATAGCCCATATTGATATTACGCTGTAAAGTTACAATCACTCAGCGGGCACTTAATGGCCTCGACCGAGTACTAGATGGTTTTCATGTAGCGGACGTAACGGGGGGGAGGTGGTGGGCCGTCCACTGCGGGGTCTGTTGGCGGTTGTTGTGGTACGTCCACTTGCACGGGTACTAGCGACCAGTGAGCCCAATGATTGGTTTCCGGGGAGGGCGAATTGGTGGGACGCGTTGAACAGTGTTCTAGGTGTTCTGGAAGAGTAGAAAGCCAAATTCGGTGGGGCATGTGCGCAATCCGTACGAGGTTTTGCCTATCAAGGCTGACATACGAGTGAGGTAGCCGTGGGACGGAGATCTTGGGGAAGGAGGCGACAGATTCGGACGCATATTAGCAGTTTTTGGGCGGTTCATTGTCAATGGACGTTGAGCAACTTTTATGGTCAACGGAGTCGGATGGAGAATTGCGGTCTTGACCGTGTACGGCAGGGGGATGACCCAATGACGAATTTGGAACAGAAATTGCTTGCGTTGTGTGAGTACCGGCGCTGTTGTGATTGCGCCCAATGAGGGCTGGTGTTGAGAGGGTACTTCAATGCTGGCGTGTTTGTTCTTGAATGTCGGGTTTGTTGACGCAGCAGTGGGGTGCTGGTTGGTAGGCGAAAATAAACTCGGAGGATGTGGCTCTGCGTGGGTGCGTAGCTGCACCCAGGTTGGGCTGGACGAATGGAATTGGCGTCATTGTTGGCCCAGGCAGTGGGCATGACAGTAGCGTCAATTTTGACGACTATCTTGGACATCGTGGTTCGTCTGGTGACGTGAACAGGAAACAACCTGAGGCAACAGTGTATTATGGTGAAAAGGATGATGCTGGGAGTTGATAGTCCGCGGGTGGTACATGGATACGTGCAAACAATTCAGCAGTGTGACACGGGCCGGATGCGGGAGTGGGCGTGGTTGTAACCTTGGGTGTGGGTGCGACCTTGGGTGTGGGTAAACTTTGGGCGGCGGCTGATCTTTTGCCCAAGTGGGGCACCGGTGCTCGAAAGGACTGGTCGAGGTGTAGCGTGGTATCAGTGCAATTGTTCCCTGCGGTGTCTTGAGAGCCTTGATGTGGTGGATACTGGAGTAGTAAGGCCCCCAGTGGAGGTAGGATAGGAGAGGGAAACACAGTAACGCGGTTATTCTATAGCTTCGGTGACATTCCCAAGGCTTGAGCTCGTCGTCCATTACAAGGTGGTCCTGTGGGAATAATTGGAGGTGCGCGATGACGCGGGTGTGGCCGATGCACGGCGTGAACATGATGGGGTGTTTCATGATGATGGGATGAACGGGGAGAGGAGTAAACGCCGAGCTTGCTCGCGAACCTGGTGCTTCCGCTGTGCCCAAAACTCTCTCATGGCGCCATGATCCACTTGTAGGTTACCAGGTATATTTGGGAATTGTTCCATGAGTCATAGCCCAGCTCGGCTATACCTCCAACGAACGGCTCAGTGGCAATCCAAGATAAAGGCTACTCAACTCAGCCCATTTGGTCCTGTGGACATATCGAGTAGTTCGTTGCACCGCAAAGCAATGGTCCTATTGGATTAAAGTAAAACGAACTACTGGATATGCCAGAAAGGATAGTTCTTGTTGCGGTCAGCGTATCCTACTACTAGTTTTCCATAGCATTTTTCCGAGGCCTGGTCGCTATCATGGCGGAGTGAGAGGCGACCTCGAGCCCGCACGGTCGATATGGGCTTCCACATGCAGTCGAGTGTGTGTGCCGTCCGTGTGATGCACCCGTGTGGAAGGCTACCGTCGACGCTGTGTTCCAAAGACGTTTCGTAGATGCTGTTGTCCTCGGCGTTGGCGAGCTTCTTGTGGCATTGGAAGGAGCCACTGGCAGCTGTGGAGGCGGACGGCGGCATGGTTCGATGGACAACGGCGTGTAGGAGATGAAGTGTAAAGAGGCCGAGGGGTAAATATTGATTTGGGACCTCAGCGGGTCGTTATGTCTAGTATGGAATGAGGTAAGTTTTGCTGTCGCCATAACTCAAGGACTTAGATCGATCGTAATACATGAAATCAAAGCAGAGATTTCGCACATTCTGGTGATCCAATTAGATATATTCAAGTAGAAGACCAGAGTAGTATACGCTTCCCTGGAGTCGAGGTGCAAAACCAATTGCTTGAATCCTTGAACTAGTCCACCGCGAAGAAACAACTCTTCCCAGCGACGCACACCATACCGACCTCCAGAACCTACATGGGCAAATGCGAGAGTTGGGGTCTCCGGTGTCAACAGTCATTCGGAAGGATCCATCCTTCTTCGGAACGCTCCGAGGTGGAAAAAATCACCTTGATCGATGCGTCGTCCTGGTGAGGTCAGCATCCCCAACTTCAGTGAAGAAACTACGCAGTAGTCCGTCTGCAGAGTGGAATATCGTCGACCCTTGCACGTTATCGGGATGGTGTCCACTATGAAACGAACATTCAATATCTCCACTGCAATCGCGTTATCGTTCCGGAACTGTGGACGGAACACGACTTCAAATTCTATGAGCAACCGTCCGAGCGGAGTTTTCGAGCGAGGGCCCCCTTGATAACTATCCGAGGGTCGCCTTCAATCTCAGGGCCGTCGTCATCCCTGACGTCGTCCGGGCCTTCTGGCTTGGGAGCATCTGGGCTTATTGTACCTTCGGCGCTCTGGAGGTCGACGAGGCAACATCGAGGTCCAGGACAGAGATGTCGTTCAGATCATACGAATCCTGAGTTAGGGCGGCTGTCGCTGCTGTTGAATACCCCGGGACGTTCATGACTTGTTGGCGGACGGTAATGGATAATCCTGGCTGAGCAGGGTCCACCCAGGTCCTCAAAAATCTCGTTAGAAGCCGTAGCTCGGATACGATCAAGTGCTTGGATAAGGACATATGAACCCTCCCGAATTCCTCGAACTCTCGCCAGCAATTCGGATCGCCAGTCGATTGTCGAAGTCTTCTCTATCAGCTCCGTGAGTCCGAGAGATCGCTCCCGGAGTCAACAAGCGCAGTGACCATGTCATCGGTCGACACCCCGTGAATCTCGAGGGCCCGTGAAGAGGCCGTCAAAGTGTCTTGAATATCTATGGCTTGACCGTTTCTTGTAGACTCATTTGGCCTTCTTCATCTCCCGTATCTCCTCTTTCCCACCTGCGAGGCTTCAAGACGATGCGGTTCGGCAACAGGCCCAACATACAGGGGGCCTCCGAGGGGCGTCAAACGTGTTCGCAGGCATCCTTGGAAAGTCTTTCTTCAGCAATATTGCCCGCTTCGAGGCTTCGTCCACCTGCCAGAGGCTTGCTTTCCAGGCCGCCTTCAATAGGACGACAGCTTTAGTGACCCGAGTGAATTCTAGCTGGACCACCAGCTTGGTCTTGAAGTACGTCATGAACTGGAGCACAGAATTCCGTTGATGCTCCAGATGGTTCTGGACCACCGCCTTCAGAGTTGCCTACGCAACGCTTTCAACCCTTAAAACGCACAAAACGCTTTCAACGCTTACACCACTTGCTACGATTCAAGTCCTAAAACGCTGGTTTACCTTTAGATAAAAAAGATCTATTACATTCATTTCACTATATAAACGTTTATGACAACGTTTTACAGTTAATTTACCTTGCTTATTTCTTCCATTAGATCTTTTAAACCATTTATTATTTTTTAAATAGGTTTTTGTTTTTTTGTTAAATTATTTAGGACGTGTTCCAAGTACTTCCTCTGTTCCACGAATCTGGCGACACTTCTCAACTGCTCGACCCCAAAAATTAATTTCTAGTCCAAAATTTATGTGTCATATCACGTTCGAAAGACAATCAAAACTTAGAGGGAGTCTGCATTGACTGGACAACGTGAAAACTTCGATTTTGCGCCTTAATTTGATTTCGCCATCGGTCCCTCGCAAAACAAATTCTTGGCTCACTTTTCAAAACTACGGGACCTCAGTAACACAACACCATGGATAATTTGCGCGTCAAACGCGAACTCTCGTACGAGACTAAAATGGAGGTCATCGCTCGCCTTCTACGATTCGCCGAGAATGGCAAGTTGGGGCGTGGAGCCATCACCAAGATTGCAGCCGAAATACACCTCCATCGAACCACCGTATCCAAGATATGGCACGCATTCCGCCGAAACGCTCGCATGCCGTCGTCAAGACCTGGTCGCGTAGGCCCAAAGTCGCTCTACTCAACGGAATACGTCACCAACCTCGTGAGCGGAGTCCCCGAAGACCAGCGTAACACTTTACGCGACCTGTCGGACGCCACTGGTCTCACACTTGGCACGCTCCACCGGAAGCTCCACGACGGCACAATTCAACGCAAATCTTCTCGAATCAAGCCGCTCCTCACCATCAACAACATGGTTGAACGCGTCGCATTTTGCGAAACCCCGGATGCGTACGAGTTTGAATCGGCGGAAGGTTTACCTCGTCAAAGTCCAGAAAATTGAACGACACGTGGCAAATAGCAAGAATTTCATTCCCAAGGTCATGTTCTTGGTGGAGGTCGCGCGTCCACGATATGGCCCTGAGGAAGGAGTGAGGTTTGACGGGAAGAATGGGATGTGGCCCATAGTGAAATACGTGCCTGCCGTCCGAAACTGCCGAAACCGCCCAGCTGGCACGCTTGTGACTACCTTGGTGCACGTGGATGCTGTTGTGTACCGTGACTATGTCATTACGCGTGTGATACCTGCGATCAAGGCTTGCTTTCCAAGCGCTAACAAACGGGTTGTCCTACAGCACGACAACGCCTCGCCGCATCGATCAATCACTAACGAGGTTCTTGCGTGCGTGTCAACCGATGATTGGAAGTTTGTTGTGCGGCGCCAACCGCCCAACAGCCCAGACCTCAATGTCCTTGACCTGGGTTTCTTTGCGTCCATCCAGTCGATACAGTACAAGGTTGTGAGTCGATCGATCGATGATGTCATTCGCTCAACACTGGCGGCTTTTCAAGCGCTCTCGTCGGACAAGCTGGACAACGTGTTCGTCACGTTTCAGGCTGTTATGCGCTTGGTGCTAGAGCACAAAGGTGACAATCACTTTCGCTTACCTCATCTGAAGAAGGATGCATTGTGTCGTGCCGGGACCCCTATGGCCAATGTTACTTGTCCTGCATCCTTGTTGGAGTAGCGTGCCAAAGTGTTCCCAGTGAGGTTTTTAACCAACAACATGCATTCATTTGTGTTTGAGCCAATAGTAGAGAAATGTCGCCAGTAATGTGGAAAAAGTGGAATTTTTAACGTCGCCAGACTCGTGGAACAGAGGTAGTAGATATTTTTAGCAAATGAAAAATTGGTTCCAAGTACAGTTTCCTACTTTTTTACCTCTTTTTGTGCGAGTTTTTATGCAACTCACTAAACGAAAAGTAGACAAAGAGATCCTTGACGCGTTTTCTAAATCGTGAAAAAAAGAGGTAAATCAATTTTGATTTTATAACTGATGTTATTTTTTGTAAACTACATCATCTTTATTAAATATATTTAAAAAGGCCAACGTGGGATTCGAACCCACAAATTATTAAAAATAATTGAACGGCAAAAACACGGGTTCGATCCCCGTAAAGGATATTATTTTAGGGAAAATAACTCAGTTGGTTAGAGTTATAGCTTGAGGTATGGTGCACGTCATCTAAAAACTTCCAACTGGCCAAATCGAAGTGTGGTTTTTAGTTAAACCCAAAAAACCTAAATACGTTAAATACCGAATTCATGCGTTTTATCACTGCAGTGGGAGGTTAAAGGTCCCAACTGCCTCCGGATATTATATACGGATAAGAGCCAGATACAAAAATCAAGATATATCTCAGCGGCATCCCTTTGGCCAAGTATCCACGCGCCCGAGTAAAAAACCACTAGGTTAAATATATATTTCTGGACCAATTCATCACCAAATTTGAATCTGACACGTAGAATTTCTTCACCACATTGAGATCTGTCGATTCTACGTCTCAATTTGCTGAAATTTTGAGTAATGGAATACGAAATAGAAGTCAGAAAATTTTGTGAAAAGTTGGTAGTTTATAGGTGATGAGCATCATAAAAAAATTACAGTGTTAATACCAGTAGGTACTGCAATAATCATTGTAGCTGCTGTAAAATAAGCTCTAGTATCTACATCCAAACCAACAGTATAACGTTACTAGTACATAGATGAGCCACACACCTGAGGTCCGATACTATTCCGTGCACTAACGGAGAAGCGCTCCAAAAAATAGCTCCGTAGGAGGCAGACAGTAGGGCGCGTCACAATACTCACCGAGCGAACCTTTCGATCCCTTGGCTAGGCCCAATCAAAAGATTGGATTGGCAGAAACTCGACACGACGTAAATTGATTGACTTCCAGTTATTGTGCTTTCGAGTGAAATTTCGTCTGTGGCGTGGTTTCTCGTTGGAATTTAAATCGATTTGATTGGCTACATCAGATTAGCTCAAAATTATTAGCCAATCAAAACCCTCTCAATGAAATTCAACCAATCAGATCGATTGTGGATCAGTTTGGTCGGCGCGATTCGATTGCACCCCCTCCCCAAATTTGTATCAAATCGACAATAGGCGGTTCATTAATCATTCACTTACTGTTAAGTCGTTCGATTCGGCTGAGGACTCGATTTGACAATACTTATTTTCTCCTTTTCTTCTTGGGATATGAGCTTTGGGAATTTTTGCACACTTGCCAAAACGGTTTATGGTATTATTTTTTGGGGTGGAATCCAGATAGCCCCAAAATACCATTTTGCGACCGAATTCAACAAATCTGATCAAACTTGAAACATGACTTGCTTGTGAACCCAAATCCAATAATTCCAAGTGGGATTTACTCTCTGAGGAGGTCCAAAACGCCGTATTACGAAATGGACCTTTTCACACCTTTTCGCACATTTGAAAACGGCATTTTTCGTTTATCCCATTTTGCCAGAAAATGGAATATTATTTTTGAAATGTTATCGACGCATCCTAACGTTAACGTTACCTCAATAATAAAGTATTTTACATACAAACTCCAGAGACACCCTAATATTTCAGGTTGCCACACTGGCCCTTAGTAAATCCCTATTTCATGTATTCGGCTAGCTGGCTGCTGGAACGAAGACGTTCAACTATCGCAGCAAGCTTGGGGTAGTCGTTGGTCAAGAGTTTGATGAGTTCTGGAAACTCAGCTAGTGCATGCTCGTGGAAATCGAGCCAGTAGATGTCGGCGTGCGTGGGTTCCGCACCTGTGAAGTACAGCCCAATCATACGCTTGTTCAACGCTGAAAAGAGCTGAGGGAACACCGAAGTCTCGATTTTGGCCATCTTGGTTGTCTTGGAGGCTGCGTCGAGGTCGCTGTACACAATGTCGCTGTATAGATCCCAATTTTCCAAAATAGCGTCGACCAAAGAGTCGGCTTCCAGTGCCAACAACGGCGACGTCGGGTACAGTCCCGCCAACTTGGCTGCATAGCGCGCCAGGGCCAGACTTTGCGCGTATATCACGCCGTTCGCTTTCAAAGTTGGGATTTGACCAAATGGCAACTCCAACACGGCTTTCTTCGCACCCCACTCCTTGAAGGAGATCCGCTCGTCTTGAAATGGAATTCCACCGTACGACATGAGCAATCGAATGAACTCCCCTCGCCCAGGCATGTCGAAGTACGTCAACTCGAGGTCCGTTGGTGGCGTCGCCATGCTCTTGCTCTGTGTTACTAGTTCGTGGAAAAATGGAAAGTGCAATTTGGATATCTGGTTTTCCGGTTAACGGTGCGTAAGCGCGGCTCAGGAAAGTCACTCAGCCACCGCGAGGCTATAAAATCCAAAAGAATGTCCACTGTATACTGGTATCCCAGTATCACCAGTATCCATGAATTATTAACTGAACCAAGTAATTGCCGAGTTGGTTACATAGATGGTCAAGAACTACCGAGAGTTTGGTTTCAAGCGGGTGTAAAAGTCAAGCAGGTAACTATCCCAATGGTTCGCTTGGCCCCCAAGAAAGAAAGGCCCGACGATACCCGTTGAAATAACGACATTGGTATTTTAAAAATATTACTATGTACTACTAGGATTTAATTTTGTACATATGTATGCAGTGTCGTCGGCAATACTAAGAGCTTTGACATGTTCGTCCTTTTCCAAGTACAGTACACAGCGACCACGATCAATACAGAGCTTTCAACGCATCGCCCGGACACAATCCTACGAGGTTTGCAGCGTACCGAGCGATGGCAACGATCAAGGCGTGTGTCTTGCCATTACAAGCCTTCAGCGTTGGCACATGCCCAAACGAAAGGTCCAGTGATATTTTCTCGGCTTGAAATGGCTGCGGCAGGAATTGCGGATACTCTTTGAAACGGATGCCAGTAGCAAACGAATGAGTTCGGCACGACCCCTGTGGCCAAAGTACGTTTATGCGAACGAAGGACTGACTCCCCACGTGCTGGTGCTGTGAGCAGTTCAAGATGATGCCAACGTTGGTGGGGAAGTGAGGTAAGTACCCGTTTCACAATAGTGGCGCATAGCTGGAGCTGCAGATACATCTACTTGATATGCCCTCCAAGATTAACTGCGAACATTGTTGAAGTGCAATGTTGGCGCCAGACTCCCTTTTTCGTCCGAGTTGACCTTGCCGCCCTGTTGACGTCGGATAAACAGCACATTTTACCGGATGAGGACATACATTCCATCCAGAGTGCACATCACCAAATACAATCATGCGATCCATCATTTTTTGCATTTCCAACATGCCACGAGCCCTACCTCCGTCGCTCGAACTGACCTACTTTGATGCTGGCGGGCGTGCGGAACCCATTCGATTGATCTTAGCATATGGCGGTATTGATTTTGACGACGTGCGCATCCCTGGGAAGGAATTCCCTGAAAAGAAACCGTCGTTGGACCTGCCGTTTGGCCAAGTGCCTACCCTCAAGGTCAATGGAACGAAAGTGTTTGCGCAGAGTGTCGCCATCGCACGTTATGCCGCCATGTTAGCAGGACTGTACCCCCAAGATCCCCTGGAAGCGTTGGAGGCGGACCTTGTCGTCGATACTGTCGTGGAAGCCACCATGACGTTTGTCAACGCTGCTTTGTTGGAACCGGACGAAGCCAAGAAGGCCGACAAGCTGGCGGACGCCAACAACAAAATCCTCCCGCGACTCCTGGGCGGCCTCGAGAAACGAGTTGTCGGACCTTATTTCTTGGGCGAAGCACCGACATTTGCCGACATTTACGTCCTGGACTTTCACACGCAAATCTGGTGTGCGTTCCCTGACCAACTTATGGCGACCCCCGACAAGTACCCCAAGCTTGCAGCCATCGCCGATCATTTGCGTCAATCCAGCGAATTGGCGTCGTATTTGAACCCGAAGAAGCGAAAGTTATCCAGCTGAGCCTACGTAGAGCTGTGATCTTACAATACATACTACTAATAGTACTGTAATCCTATTGGCATTCGCACTGTAATTCACTATCATGGTTGATTCACTTGTGAACTCGTTGAAGTGCGATTGCCTTTCGAGCGTATCGTACTTTATTGCAACGCCTTGAAGGCAACAAGTTGGTGGCACATGATGGGGCGGGCCACAAAGGTGATTAGCGGCACGGCCATCTCGGCCAAGATCCGGCAGCAGATCAAGGACAACGTGCGTAGTAGCCACTCTTACTCAATCTCACTAGATGCACTTAGATTGATTCAGTCGTGGCCCTCACTCAAACCACAGAGGTAAGGTCAACCGGTTCAAGCAACTCCACTCACACGACCGACAGCGGCCCGCTTTAGGGATGATCATGGTGGGCGACCGACAGGACTCCCGGCTGTACGTGGAAGCCAAGGGCCGCGCATGTGCTGAAGTTGGCATCCGCGCCGAGAACCGATTCTTTGCACAATCCACGACACAAGTAGGTACAACCGGCATCCACATCACACTGTAACATTAACCTCAGGCCGAAATTCTGCGTCAAGTGCATGCCTTCAATGCCGATCCGACCATCGACGGCATTCTCATTCAGGTATGCCTTAGACATGCCCCCCACAAGGTAACGTATGGCGAAGGAAGCTGATATGTATGTAGATGCCACTGCCGGCCACGATCGACGAAAAAGCTGTGGTGGATGCGGTGCTACCTACGAAAGACGTCGACGGTCTGCATCCGTACAACGTTGGCGAATTGGCCATGCGTCGACGGACGCCGTACTTTACGGCGTGTACACCGGAAGGCATTGTGGAGATGCTCGACCAAGAAGCGGTCCCGATTGCAGGCCGGGTGGCGGTGGTGCTGGGTCGAAGCGACCTCGTGGGGAACCCAGTGGGCATGCTATTACGCAAGCGCCACGCCACGGTCATCTCTTGTCACTCCCAAACCACTCAAGTATTGCCCTTTTACCCAAATTGTAGACTATTTTTTGTGCTGATTCGCAAATATCGATCGATCGATTGTACTGAATTTTGTATGTCACGAGCTTTTCTATGGTGGTTGAAATCACACTAATTTAAGTCACGCACTAACTATGACTTGATGATGAAATCTGATTGGCTAAATACTTCTACCGATTCTTTTGTACATTTGTTTATAATAAACACAACAATATCGACATACGTTTATTGTTGTTGTTTCCAATAATATCATGACGTGGCTTAGATTGAAAACCTCGTGCGCCAAGCCGACATTGTCGTGAGTGCGTGCGGAGTTCCGCAGTTTGTTCGGGGCGAGTGGCTCAAACCTGGCTGCGTGGTCATCGACGTGGGTATCAATTTCGTCGGGAATGACATGGTGGGGGACGTTTGCTTTAACGAAGCGCTGGGCATTGCATCGGCCATCACACCCGTACCCGGAGGTGCGTCTATATATTTCATCTAGTCGACCAAATATACGCTGTTAACTATATATATATATTATATCTGAATTAGGAGTTGGCCCCATGACGATTGCAATGCTGATGCGCAACGTATGCAAATCGTTCCATCGACGTGTCACGACCGGCGATGTCACCGCCGAGTAAATTAGCACAACATAGTAGCACAAGTTCCCTCAATACATACTTAGTCGATAGTTCTAATAATGGCACGCGTAATATGGAGGCATGGCGATGCTGACAACATTTGGAGTTATACTTAAGAGCGGGTCTGAATGCCACGAAAAATGGCATAATATGGCCGATGTTTTAAGAAAAGTTGCCAAAATCGAAATACTCCATTTTTCGAGATTTTGTTCATCTGGATGCCTACCAAAGTTCAAAATTGAATGCCAAAACTTTCGTCCGAATCGGGGTTTTTATGGAGGTTTGTGTTCACGGTTCAAGTGTTGCACTTCAATGGGAAATAATTCAACTGACATCCAGACAACTTTGTAGATACTTCTTTTCTCCTTATTTCATTGGATATGGGACTTTGGGAAATTTTTGCAGACTTGCCAAAACGGTTTAACGTTATGGCATAATTTTATGGGGTGCATCCAGGCCAGCCCTAAGAAATAAATGGGATATGGTGGAGCACCTGTGCCTCGTCGATTGTGAAGTAGTCACCTCCCATCTCAAATCGCTTTGGATATCGTCCTAATTCCAACGACATTAAGTTGAGCTCGTAACTGTTTTTGTAACCGCCACCATGAAACTGCACGTCTTTTGTAACTGGTGGCCTTGATTCGTGTTGTGTGGATGGAGCCGTCGTACTGTGATCCGACGTCGCTGCCCCAGGTGTTTCGTCCAATGAAATCTCCAGTTGACACGGCGCTGCGAGCGACCACGGCAGACTCGCATTTCCGACCGAAACCAACCGCCGATCATCGGGGATCGGGGCATCGACCTCCAGGTCTCACGTACGTTTTACAATACTACTACAGGCAGGGCTGACTGGATCAACGACCGAGTAGTCGAGGCCGACAGTCTCGCGTAGAGCCACCCACAAGCCGGGGCGCTAGACAGCCGGTGACGCCTAGGAAACCACCTCCACACCACCACCCCCACGCTCCTGTGCAGCCCAAGGACGAAGTGGGCATCATGTATCCGTTTGCAAACGTCGCCGACGACGACGGATCCATGCAACGCATCATGTGGAACAAGTGGCACGACCAGTATGCCACGGACGCCGTCGACGACAACTTTACCTCGTTTGCCTTGTACGTGGTGAAATCCTCCACAGCGTGACTATCGTGTGGTTAGATACGGGGAAGTGAAGCTACAGGAAGCTCAAACGATGAGCTCGTGGCTCGAGCAGCCCAACCAATTTCTCACCGCCGTAGCATGCACCCTTGTACACAAGGTAGAGGCCTTGCACGTTGAATGGCCGAAGTTCACCCTGCTTCCACGTGTAGTTTGCAGACCGCTTGGGCACGTCGGGCGGACTCTTGCGGCGGTTGTTGCAGGCGTTGATGGCGGCGGTGTACGTTTGTCGACCAGCCGCTGACGAGCGCGATGGCAGGGACGATGATACCCTGTTTGACCACAAAGTGCCCCACTTTCTCGTACCCATGATCTATATTATCTACATTTGCACAACGGGGATTGGGTGGACAGGAAAGCAAACGACTGCGACGGACGTGCTTGGAGCTCCTGGACGAAAACACGCGCAAACTCACAGACTCGTCGGTTCACCAAGTGGGCGTCGAAAAGATGCAGCGCGTGATCGACGGCACCACCAAAACGTGGAAGCGCAAGGTGCAGCGGCTGCTGTTTTACAACTGGGCGTACATGGTCCAGCGGCGCCGTCGCATTCGAACGGTTCGAGTCTCTCCTGACCATTCATGTACTTCAAATGTCGTCCGATCGTGCTCTAGTTTATGGACCGCACGTTTCGCTACGAAGCCAAAGCCATGGTAAAAAAAACCTTTCGGGTGTGGCGCGTGGAAGCGTTGCGAAGGGCTTACTACGTAAGTAGTACCATAGTACTACCTATGCAAAATCGAACTGACAAGTGGCGCTAGCGAGAGTCGGCCAACTACCAAGCCATGCTGTCGGTGACTGCAGAATCCCTCGGGCGCAAGGTCATCATCACGAAGGATTTCATTGGTGTTTTAATGAGATGGGTGGGTGTAGGATATTCAACTGGGCGATGCCGCCACCCGGATGAAAGAGCTGCAAGTCCAAGTGGACCAGCTGACATCCATCAACAGCCAGCTCGTGGCCCGCATTCATGAGCTCGAAGCAGCGAACCGATCGATACGGGCGGGGAATGCTGACGGCGGCGGCGCCGTGCCCGTGAGAGCCCTCTTCGAGCCCATCGACACGATCGCAGCCCCCACCTCCCCCGACGCAGAGGACGACGCCAAACTGAACAGGCTGCTGCTCGAAAGCCTCTTTGCCATGGCGCGTATGGTCGAGTCTTCTGTTATCCAAAGCTCGAGCGATGTCATGGACAGTCTGCGCCACCAAACGGACGGCCAGGAGCTGAGGGAGTTGTCGGAACTCATGTTCAAACAATCGACTTTGTACGGAAAACAACAGCCGCAGCAGCACACACACCACGACCACCACACGATTCAAAACCTACTTACGAAACCCATCGACGTGGTGCTGCTCAACTGGATGCGCCTCCAGCTCGACCGCAGCACCGCCACGACGCGCCCCCAAGACAAAGTCGTGCGCAACTTCTCCGAAGACCTCGCCGACGGTCACCGGTTTGCACTGCTGCTGCACCACTTGTACCCGAAAGCGTACGACGCCACCGTACGGACGTCACATATATTTGGATTAATATTCCCATTTTGTAATACAGAAAGTGTTGCAGGTCGTGGGGGAAATCGATGTCGACACCCGCCTCCAACACATCGAGCGGTTCAACCGAGAGTGCCCCCTGGAACATGCGATGGACGCGACGCTTCCTGTGGTGGTCACGGCCGAATCCATCGCCGGACATAAAAGCCCCGAGAATGTCGTGTTTGTCGCCATGTTGTTTGGCATGCACCAGTATGTACGACGATTTGACAAGAGTTTGATGTGTCATAAATATAATGTGCTACTGTACCGTATTGTCGTACCATTGCACCATGCAATTAAATTTGTAGAATTTATTTAAATATTCGAAATGTTCAATTAATTTGAGAGATTGTATTCAATTTTAGAATTACATTCGCGTTTATATTAATATTTCAAGGTGCAGATCAACGACAAATACTGTAGTATATATATATATATATATATATATATATATATATATATTCTCAGCGACAAGAATGTGTAGAGCTCACTTTGCACCACTCAACATGGACAAGGCGCGCAATGCGTTTTTGCATATTGTCACGTGCTGGAAAAAGGTAACTATCGTTTTGTCAATCATGGAAATATCGCTTAGGAGAGCATGTGGAGGTGCGCACGATCATGCTCGAAGTGCGGCGCGCCACGGACGACACTCCGGACAAGGGGCTTGTGCTGAGTTTGGTGAAAGAGATCAAGTCTTGTGAAAGCTATCACAAGCAAATGCAAGGCGAACTCACGTCGCTTGCTTGTACGTCCAACGAAGCATCCACCGTGCTCACCAAGCTCACGCATAAAATCCTGTGCTTTACGTGGCGGGTACGTACTCGTATCTCGGTCGTCCCCAGAGTTGTTGCATTGGTGTTTGTAGCTCCTCTCCGAGAAACTCCAAGGCGTGCAAGAAGACGTCGTGGACGAGCGAAGGGCGCAAACAATGCTGAAGTTCACGGTGGTTCCCCCCGTTTTGGTCCGAGACATCATTCTCAGCAGCCCCGACAGCCGCCGCACGTCTCTCACAGAGACCGAAGTACGTAATAATGTTACCTGTATATATTGTGTACCTAATGAGTACTAACAACTCAATTTAGTACTAACAAATGCGTTAGGTACTCACTCGAGTCGCAGGCATTCAAAAAGTACTCCAGCAATGGTTCAAGGAACTCTGTGCGATCTTTCGCCATTACAGGTACCGTACTACTCTACTAGTTACCTATGTACTTCTCATTTAGTCCCACTGTTGAAGTTTGTATCAATACCATGAGAATTCCCGAGTAGCAGCGGCGCACTGCGCGGCCGCGCCACGACAATGAGCTCTGGAGAGTGGGCCAAGTTCATCAAGGTGATCACGTTGGGTTGTGTTAGTAGTTACGATGGTCAGCGAGACTCAAGCTAGTATCTGGTAGGACTGCGCTATTGTGGACAAAAAGGTCACTCAAGCCGTCGCCGAAGGCGTGTACTACCAATGTGTAAATTCGGACAGGTACAAGTTACTGTACATGGTGAAAGATTCGATTCATCGAGAGTGTAGGACGACCGTGCAAACGACCACCGCGGCCAAGGAGATGTCCCCGGCGATGTTTGTGTCGGCGCTCGTGGTGCTGGCCGACAAGAAGTTCCCGCAAGTGATGTTTGAAGAGCGAATCCGTGAACTCATTGAAAAGTGCGTGATTCCGCATGCGTGTCGGTCGCAGCCCGAAGTGTTTCGGATGCTCCTGCAGACTGCCGACGTACGATCCCATGTCAGCCAAGTCGGCCTTGCTAATCGTGTATGCAGGTGCGGGGAGTCTACCAAAAGTTCAAGCAACCGCTGCAGCGGACGTTCAAGTACTACTCGAGTGTCAAGACCGACGAGGCGTTGGTATGGCTTTTGTTAGCCAGGCATGGTTCCTCCCTCATCCATCGTCACAATGTAGAAAAGCTCCAAGCCGCGGTCCACGATTGGACTGGTCGAGTTTATCATGATGGTGAAAGACTGCAAGTTGATCGGGTCGTACGTGACCGAAAACACGGTGAAGCAGATCTTTGCGCTCGTGCAACGACACTACGAAGACGAGGACGACGAGTGGGATGACATGACTGCGAACGAAGAGCTTCAAGTGGACTACATCGAGTTTGAAGAGGTACAGGCAGAAGATTTTGCTGGCAGAGAGGTGGCGTGACTACAGATGGGTGTAGGCCTTGGGCGCGTTGGCCGAGTACGTGATTGCCAATCCGTACATACCTTACTTCAAGCGGCTGGAGCAGTTCATCGGTGATATGATCCTTCCACGTGCACGGCAAAAGAAGCCCAAAGGGTAGGCTCATCATGCCACCCTGGGAGTTCCATCGCTTCTGCATGCTGGTTCTCATGGTCGAAGTGATCAATCCCTGCATCAGCTTAGTTAAGTGCGGATACAAAATGAGCCAATCATTGACGCGTACTATGCATCCATACCGAAAAATCTAATTTATTTTAACCAATGAAATTGAGAGAATCATCATACCACTTCGTTTCCGCATCCATTTTTGGAACGACCTGCAAAAACATGGCAACCTCCCTCGAAAATGGACTTGTGCTTGGCCTTCTCGGCACGGGAAAGATCGGAAGCGCCGTCATGTCTGGGTATTGCACTCCTGTGGCAGACAAATCGACGTGGGTGCCCAGGCACATCTACGTGAGTCCTCGCGGAGCAGACAAGGCCAAAGCGCTCCATGCCAGGTTTCCCAACCATGTCACCATCGCGCCGACGAATCAAGCGGTGATCGACCACTCCAACATCATTTTCATTGGTCTCCTTCCCGATGTTGCCCGACAGGTATGTGCCTCCCGCTTTGATCCATCCGTTGACGTGCGGTGTCCTGTAGGAACTGCCCTTGCTCAACTTTCCTCAAAACGTCACGATTGTATCGATGATGGCAACGATTCCATACCAAGAGCTGTTGGACCTTCTTCGCTTGCCTCGTTCTCAAGTGGTAAGGTTTTCATATCCTCCTATGTTTTCATCGGCTGGGTAGGTGCGCACCATTCCGCTACCAAGCTCCTCGCGCCGGACTGGTCCTATTTTGGCCTATCCGCCGCACCCTTTTGTTCGCGAGTTGCTGCAACAAATCGGGACTCCAGTCATGGTGAACGAAGAGAAGGAAGTCACGACTTTGGTGGGTCCAAACTATTTCGTCGACTCGGCTCATGTAGTCGGCGTTGTAGACTGGCATGACGGCGATGATCAGTTTCTTCTACGCCACCTGCGGCACGCTGCAAAAATGGTGTGTCCAGAACGGCGTCGGTACGTACGCGTCCTCTTCATGACACATATGGAATTGAATGTTGCGTGTGTAGAGGAGCAAGCGTCGCGCGACTACGTGTCTTCTTTTTTTCAATCGCTCGCGGATGCCGGCATGATTTCGCATGAACCTTTCCAAGACATGGCGGAAGAAGCGGCAACGCCGGGTGGTCTCAATGAACAAACCCACCGCGGCCTCGTAGCGTCGGGCGCGTACGAGTTGTTGCTGGACGAAGTGGATGCCATCTACACGCGCTTGACCACGCGCGCTCCGGCCCCGCGCGGCGGCAATTAATTCGTCGGCGGTCTGTCTTCTTGGCGTCAAATTCCGAAATGGCGCGAGAACGAAATAAGTTGCGCGCGTAAAAACCACGTTGCTATGAAGTCGCGGGGAACATACATATCCGAACGTTTGATTTCGCTAGAGGGCCGCGTAATTATATTAAATGTCTGATCGAATGTACTGGGACTTTGTATACCATTGAGTCGGTCGAATTAAAATTTGCACAAAACCTATTGTGGCGTGATAATTTCCATTGCCACAACCCCAGACCGACAGAGACGACAGACGGCGCAGCGGCGGCAGGGCGACGATGACCAACCTGAGCGCCGACGAAGCCGATTACTTCGGTAAGCGGTAGTAGAACCATGCTGGCTATGGTACATGTAGCGTAACGATGGGCATGACGGATGCGTAGAAAACGTCGCGGCCGACGATCTCAAGGTGCTCCTGGACGAGCACTTTGGCATTCTTTTAGCGCGGGTCGGTGCGCATCCGTTTTGGCCGGCAAGGGTACGACGACATCATGCTGATGTGGATACGTCCTTGGCACTGATGTAGTGCTTGTTTGCAGGTGTGTGAGATGGAGGAGTGGATCGCGTACCTCCCGCATCGCCAACGCAAGGGACAGCTCTGCGTGTACTTCTACGGGTCTCACAATTAGTACGTCATATCGTGTATGCTTCACGTAAGCCCCCATCTAATCGCCCATCGTCGTCGTTGTGTGCAGCGGGTGGATTCTCCGCAGCAACGTGCATGAGTTCATGGACGAGCATCCGTCCATCAAGTCCAAGAAGGGGTCGAAACTCCACCTTCAGTACCTCGAAGGCATCGAAGAGGCCAAAACAGCGATTGCCGCGGCCAGGGAGACCCACGCGCACATGACATTCTCCGAGCGCATGTATGTTCCCGTGCCCCCGTCGGGGCGAACGTTCTTGACCGTTGAATTCTATCGGTGCGTTTTTTAGCAAATTAAAAAAACATGAGGTCGAAACCGACGTCGCGTGCGCCGTGTGCAAGAAGAAGGGGACGTTCGAGCAACGGATCGTGTGTGACGGCAAGGACTGCGAGCGAGAGTACCACATGACGTGCCTCAAGCCCCCTCTTGTCGAGGTCTGTTATGTCCGCCCGTCGTCGCATTTAACGGAATGCTCATGTAGGTCCCTTCTGGCGAATGGTTTTGTCCCCTGTGCAACCTAAGTCGTGTTGCGTCCGCCTTCAAGCGAACCCCAACGAATGGATCCTCATTTTTGCAGCGAGGTCCGAGCGCGGTGTGCCCCAATGAGATTCCATTGCCGTCGCCAACAGTGGACGAGTCTGTCCAGGCCACTCCGGTGGCTAGCACGTCCAACCGCCGCGACCGCAAACCCACGACGGACGCTAAACTGCGAAGAGATCCCAGAGGACGGGGCGAGAGGGAAGATCAACCAGCACGGCCCCCGCCCACGGTGGACTTGGCGTCGGAAGAACGCTGCTTCTTGTGCGGCCTTGGGGGCGAGTTGGTCGTGTGCGAGTTCCCTAGATGCACCAAAGTGTACCATCAACTGTGCTTGGGCGCGTTTCCGTTCCCCACGGATGAAGACACCGAGTGGGTATGCCCTCGCCACAGTTGCGTTTTGTCGGGCCGGAAAGAACCCCCCGTGCAAACGTCCACCAAATCCATTTGGCATTGCCTGCACTGCCCCGTCGCGGTCGACGACACCGTCTTGCCCTCGGTATGTGACGCTGTGATGCAACGGACTTATACGTTTCTCTTGTAGCATCCTGCTTTGAGCAAGATCAGCCGTCGCGAGAAAACCATGGTATGTCCACACTGCAATGCGCCAAGCCCCAAGGTCCGCCTCGCCAAAATCCTCGAGCGCATTTGGTCGGTCATTGCAACCAATCGCCAAGGCATGCCGTTTTGTGGCCCGCTTCTTGTGGGCATCGACCGGCCGGCGGATATGGATCCGCATCTACTCCCCCTCGATCTGTTCCAAATCATCGCGTTGGTGCGAAACCTGCGCTATTCCAGCGAAGACGCGTTCGTACGGGACATCCACACGGTACAAATGTATAGTTTGGTACAAGTGTGTTCATCGTATACAAATGGGTAGGTCGTGGAAACTGCGCTTGTGATTTTGAAGGACCAGTCGGCACCGCTTGTGGAGGCCGCCAAAACCATGAGTATCGTCGTGCGCGAACAAATGCAATACCATCAAGCGCAATTTCAAAGCATTCAAACTCTTATGAAACATTTTTACGACGGTAACGATGCTTGACAGTTTGTTTTTGTAATGACGATCATGTGGTAATAGCCAACCAGAAGGTCGATGATCCGTCAACGTGGAATATTGCGTGGCGCAAAGAGTGCATGCCGTTTGGCGACAAGAGCTACGTCCACATAGAAGCCCGATCAATCGACGAGTGGACCAGTTATGTAGCGAATGCGACGCTGTATGCAAATTTGACGCCGAGGGCTCAGCCCGAAGGTATTGAGGAACGGCTCCCCAGGCCCGACACGGCTCCCCCCCCGCCGCTACCAAGAATGACCAAGGAGGCATCCACAGAGGCGGCTCCTGTTGCCACAGACCATTCTGCGGCACCAGCATCGATAGACCAGCGAAAAAGTTTGACGCTGTCCGATGGCATCGACGTGTTGGTGGCCCTGTCTGACTTGGGCAATCAGCAGCAGCTACGATATCAAGCCCCAACCACCACCACGTCTTCAATTGCACAGTCTGGTGAAGCAGCGGAGCCGTCGATTTATCGCGAAGAACTGGGTCTGACCCCGTCCATTTGTGAAATGGACGCGATGTTTCAACAACAAGCATCCCTTCTACGGAAAGCGTTGAGCGCACATGCAACCTTAGAACATGCGTGGAACATCAGCAAACAACACATGCTGGGCATGCGGCAAGATCAAGTCATCAGCATTGGCGAGGGACGGTTGGCTGCAGAATTGCGCATGGCCAACAACGTACGTCATCATCGTCCCATCCTAGACAACGTCCATCATGGGTCCTATACTGAATGTCCCTACTTTATTTGTGTAGAACCTCAAAGCTCGACTGCGAAATAAAGATCAGATGCTGCAGCAACTGACCTCGGACCACTTGGATCTCAACGGACAAGTAAAACAGCTGCAATGTGCATTGGATAAGAAAGAGGTAGTATCCTACTACTTCTACCACCCACCACCCCAGCATACTGACAAGTTGTTGCTCCCAGGCCCAACTCAAGCACCTGCAAGGGGAAGTCGACCCTTCCAAGCGCAGTAATGACGCTAAGTTTTCAGCGGGTGACGACGACGACCATGGCAGTTCCCCCATAGAAAAACGCGCGCGTTTGGAGGACGACTCGCCCGCCATCAAGCGGGGAAGGGGCCGGCCGCCAAAGAAACGACCGAGCTTTCATTAAGTCGGGCTAACAAAGTGCAATTTTACTAGGATGTGGATCCGTACTCGTCAAAAAGACAATATGGGGTCAACCAGCTAAAAGGGTTTGTTTAAAACTGGATACATCCGGCAGCCGGATGTTACAACCAAATGTGCAGAAGAATTGGCAGAAGAACTTAGCCAATCCGATTGTAGGAAATCATTGGTTCAACCAATCAACAAATAATTAGTGTGTGACTTAAATTAGTGTGGTGGGATCACAGCCCAGGATTTGTCAAATCCGTCGATCGATCTTTTGTACTGAATTTGGTATCTAAAAAATGAGTAATATTGTGCTTTCAAGCTAAATTTGCTGTTAGTACTGTATTTTTGGTTGATTCGACGAACGACGTCAAATCCACCTGAAATCGTCGAGACGGCATTTTACTTGAACTAAATATACTCACTGTCTGTTTGATGCAATATTCAACTCTTTGTGAAATGGAGATAAGTTACTTATTAATACTTGGCAATGCACCCAATCCACCCACCTGCTATATGATTGGCTGAAAGCTGATTTTTTGAAATTTTCATTGGCTACTTCTGTCCGTTGATTCGATTGGCAGCCCCAATCCATTTTGAAATCAATTACCATGACTATAAAATATACTCACTGTCTGTTTGATGCAATATTCAACTCTTTGTGAAATGGAGATAAGTTACTTATTAATACTTGGCAATGCACCCAATCCACCCACCTGCTATATGATTGGCTGAAAGCTGATTTTTTGAAATTTTCATTGGCTACTTCTGTCCGTCGATTCGATTGGCAGCCCCAGTCCATTTTGAAATCAATTACCATGACTATACATACAAAAGAAAAAGTGTGGCCTCTTCCGATGATCGAAATCGGGACCTCCTGCACCCTAAGCAGGAATCATACCACTAGACCAAAGAGGCTCTCTTGGTGCAAACCCAGTGAATTAATATTAAATACTTTTGGGACAAAAGACATGACGTGGCAGTATCTGGCACGTTAGCGAGGATGGCCATGGTGTGTGTTGCGGCCACGGTGTAACGTTATGGCGTTCAAGTCCATTGCCGCGGTCAAGGTATTCATCACCAACTCGAGTCTGGGCTTGCGCGGGTGCCGTCTCGTAGCCAAGTTGAAGCCAATTCACACCAACTCTCATCATCTGTGTCCGTGCATTCAGTTCATTCCACACCCCACCACAACATCCCCCGCACGGTCGAGTTTCAAAGAGTTGCGAGCTGTCGTGGGCGTTTCGTCTTGACGCAGAGCGTGTTCCTATTGCACGTACAAAGCGTTTTGAGTTGTTACTATGAATGACTACCGTTCTAAAACAGTCATTGGCAGATTTCTATCAACGCAGATCATCACAGTCATGCGGCGGTACAAGCTACTATGAGCGGCGTTCTTGGGTGTGGCACAGGTAAGAATACTAACGGTACGAATTATGTGACGTGATGACTTTATTCTGTAGTACGGTAGCTACTTTGCGTTGGCGGTAGCGTGTGGATGTTGTCTAGTGTTTCGACGGTGGCAGTTGGTGCAGCTCGTCGCGACCAGCGCAGTGGTGTCTTGTGTGAACAAACCAGTCTTGGTCTAGCCCAAATGCCATGTGACACATGTGGCAACAGCTCACTGGAGGCCGCGCATTGCGAAACTCGTCCCGCGCGGCAATCATGGCGTCGACGCGCCGTCGACTGGCGATGCGCTTGGCGGCTTGGGCTCGCGCTTCGGCTACAGTCACCCGCATTAGCTCGTCCGTGATCAGTGATGCAGTACAAAGCATGAGGAGTTACCGCCAGTGATCTTGTGGACTAAGGATCGGCCGCGCAGTTTGAGTCGCAGCAGCGCCATTTGAGTTTTGGCTTTCCCCGCCGTCAACCCGTGTTTCCACCACGCTGCGAATTCGTCGAAATCGATGGTCCCGCTCCCGTCCGTGTCCATTTCTAATACAGTATTTTTTGTCGATATATTATTAGCCCATCAATTGGCATAAAACAATGGTTTTTGTCTCCTTACCTTGAAAGCCAGCTTGTAGCTCTCGGTCTGAAATCGGAATGCCCAGTTCTGACAGCAATAACCGCAGTTCATGGACGTCGATGCTTCCTAATGTCAAGGTGACGTTCACTTTGCTTTAGCGATATATATATAAGATGAACCTGAGCCATCAGTGTCGAATGTGTCAAAGCTGTGTCGGATGGCCAACGTTTCTAAATCGTCCTTGGATGGTGGAGATGATGACGTGGCAGCTTGTACTCCTTGTTGCGTTTTAGCAAGTTTAACATTTTCCCGCATGCGTTTTCGTTCGCGTTTGACCTCTGCTTTGCCATCCGCAGTCATGAAATACAGCACGCTCGCCGCCATAGCCTACGTAGTACTGGTAATAGTCGCCCTGCTAAACATTCCTCGTGTGTGTACTTACGACTTTCGAGGCTTCCTTCATAACCCGCCACTCCACCTCCCTCCGTTCCGCTTCGGCCAGTCGACCCCGTCGTCTCCACAACCACGCACGGCCTATCGTTTGAATGCGACTGGCCAGCACGTGACGCCGTCTCTAGTTTAAAAGCTGCTAGTAAGCACTAATTGGTAGTAGTTGTAAGTACCAGGCTTAGCACAAACTGCTTGCACGCGCGGGTGATGGAAGTGGCCGCTCGATGCATCCGTCGCTCGGTAGCCAGCGTCCGCTTGGCTAGCACCTGGCGCCATCGGCTCTGTATTTGCCTCGCCGACGTGTGCTTGGTTGCCAAGTACGACCGCATCGGCCGTTGAAGTCGTCTCGCCACGAGGCTTTGCACTGCGCGCCGTTGCCGCCGTTGGACCTACCATCCATCCATCCCGTCCAAGTATTTATTCTTGAGATGTATGGATGTATGTATACCTTGCAATGCACTCGAAATCGTAAAAAGTCTTGCACGAAGCGCGTGGAGCGAACGAGCTGCCGCAACTTTTGTTGCATGTTGCGCCGATCGCAGGACGTTTGGTAGCACCGACGGATCTACCGCAACAGGAGAGCAGCCCAGCCAGATTGGACATGTAATTGGTCTCATCACATACCATCCGCGCACAATTGTGGGCGTGCGCCGAGTATGGATACCGCCAGTGGACATCCTTGTCAGTGGCAACTTGCGGCACACGGCTCTCAAAACCGGCAAAGCTTTGCGATGTGGCGATGTGGTCGAGCTAAGTCCATCAAGAAAGCGAGGGGTGGTGGATAGTTCGTTCGTTTTTTGGATGGAAAAGCGCAGCCATTCACAACAACAAGAAGGGGATAACCTACTACTATACATGTATAGTACCTGCTCAACCCGATTTACAAACACGGTGGCATCCAGCGGCCGAGCCAGCACAGACCGAACTTCATTCTGCCACAGGTTTCCAGCCATCTTTTCACGCAAGTGGGCGTCGAGTTGGCGCCGCATCTACCCCCCCACCAATTATAACTTAAGACAAGTTTGTTTTCGACGCTGTCAAGCGATTTTACCTCGATGGAATACCTGCTGCCATGTCGGGTAAACCCCGTCGTGCGTAGAGTTACCACAGCACACTCGTTTGAGTCACGACTCGACGTGGCGAATGGTGCTGTTGTTGGTGGTGGGGGTGACGTTGTAGTGGCGCTGGTCTCATGGACAAGGGGCGTCATCTGTTGAGGTGGCACTTTGCGTAGTCGGAGGCGATATAGAAGCAGAGGCACATTGTCCGTTGCTTGCAATTGTACTGTGGCATCTACAGCCCTTTTATCAACGCTCTGGTTGTTGTTGTTGTCGGCGACAGACTGGTCGTTTCGAAAGGTGGTTGCTGACGTGGATGGCTCTGGGCTGAGGACGCGGTATATGTCACTCGAATGACCATACATGAGTGCCCACGTCGCTTGCACCGCGCCAAGGCGGTCATCGTGCGTCTTATCTCGCCATCGAAGGTACAAATCGGTTTCGACAAAACACGCAGTGGCGTCGCGCTGCCACTTGCGAGCCACTCGCTTGGCCACGAGAGGCTCGAGCTTTTCGCTCGGTTTCTTGCGCACTCTAGTACATTTCAGCATACTAGTACTACTAGAGATGATCAACATGGCAGGTCAGGACGTACCTCTTCCGCGGCTTGTACACCAGGAGCGCGTGGTTCATGAAACGGGAGGCAGCAGTTACATATGTAACCGATTGCGTGTCAACTTTTCCCACCAAAATCAGCAGACGTTCCATCAAATGCATGGGGGAGTAATATAATGCACATGCTGCCTGCTGGTAGTACTACTTCTTCGTAGTATTGAAACCCTCTTAGCCAAACGCTAGTTGATCTCCATCTGTACTAGTAGTAGTACTACTACTACTTAGTTTTGAACCCCCCCTGGATCAAAAGCTAGCTAGCTATTCTCTCCATCTGGAGTACAGTGGAGGCCCTGTCTTCCACCTAAGCCATTCTTGGAAGCAATCACAGGTGGCATTGCCATGGCTAAGATATTATGACGGCAATTTGAACTTCTACATAGCCAAAGCAAGGCGGACACCAACGACGGCCATCACAGCGACACACACGGCAGCGACGAGTGCTGGCAACCCAAGCGTTGAACGATCGTTGTTGCCAACATGTGACAGAGTCGGAGGCTGCGTGAAAAGGAGGTACTTGACTCGAACAAAGCGTTCATCTTGGACGACCACGTACGCCCCGTTGGCTTGCGAAGACGGAAGCAATTTTGAGGCCGCAGGGTCGCATATGACTTCGCACACTGCCACACATGTCGCCGATGGGGCCAACACGGCGCTACACTCGACGATTGGTTAGGACTGAGATATGGTATGGTCAGTGGGATACAGTATCCTCGTGAACTGACAAGCAAAGAGATCAAAACTCCAACCTGTTGGGCCACGTTGTGGGTGTGGGACTCGCAAAGTTGGCAGCGACATGGACGCTTTCTGCAAAGTAAATGCCATCCCCAAAGAGATTGCCTACAATATCAGCCTAGCTTATCAATCCTCTATATTGAATAAATACTATAATGCGGAAACCCACCAGAGCTCATGTGTCGCGTGCCGCTCATAACATGCAGTCCATTTTGAAGGATCGAATGAAACGAAGCCAAACGGCTGCCGTGATAACACACTACGATGCCAAGTCATTTCAGGAAAAATAATATTATATATATATATAATATCCTCGATTAGAGTGTTTCGTACTTTTGACTCCAAATTTTGCAGCTTGCCGGTCAAACCATGGATTGGCAGTCTGCACCACCGTGGCTGCAAAGCAAACATGGGGCAAATCTATGGCAAGTACACATCGTGTTGAGATCTCGTGTACATATTCCACTGGATATATCACCGCAAGAAGGAGGGAGCACCGATGCCACTTGGTCAGGTTCAATCTACTCAGTCGAGCAGTAGAGTACAACAAAGGAAAAGGCTTCAGGCAGCCATGTCTTTTCAAAACCTGTTTGATGGACACTGGTAGGCGGCACCACAGCCACTCTAGCAAGTGCAGCGCTGGCAACGGCAACGCGGTCACATGTGCATCCCAGGTCAAGGGAATAATATATTACATATTGGATTCGGAATAGTATATACGCAACGTTTGAAAGGATATCGAGTGTCGCGAGGGCAGGAACGGCCGTGAGGGCGGCATTCTATCCAACAGGTCGTTGCTGGTGATGGAGAATCAATCGACACAGTCAAAAATGTACAGAAGGATCGGCAAACGAATTGAGCCAATCAGATTGCAGGAGACGACATCAACATCTAATTAGTGTGAAAATGAAATTAGTATGATTCCAATCACCACAGGCCCAAGTTTTACATACAAATTTCAGTACGACGAATCGATCGATAGATTTGGAGAATTCGCAAAAAAGTCAACCAAATTTTGGATAAATGGGGACAATATTACACTTGCGGAATACGACTAGCACACACGCACCACTTGGCGTCGATCGATGTCGACCCCTTGGCTTTGAAAATGCACGGAACACGGCGACAGTCCCTTGGGACTCGACGCCGCAGCCACCAAGAGACACATGAGGACGTCGCATTCTGCCTTGTTCGTCGTGGATTGAGCCAACACTCGTGCCTCGACCAATGCGCGGAGATGCCCGTCGTTCGTGGCGGCCATAGTGTCATTGCACTGCTTTACGGCTTGGTCAATGGCATTGAGGAGTGTCAGCGCCAAGAATTCGCTAGACTCTAGCTTGCTCGAGATGGCATGTGCAATGGCGGCGGCGGTCTACTTAAGCATGTGAATGGTGGGAAATGACGAGGGACTGTACATGAGAGGCCGTGGATGACACGTAGCAGAAAGGAGACCTCGTCTCTGCTATCTGAGTTAAGTTTGTGGATTGCGAACGAACGATAGCGATACTCACGTGGGATGAAGATGGAGAGCTCTTCGAGCAGAGGAAGGGCAACTGTCGATCGATTGAGGTTGATCGTCACTTCTACCGTGGACGTGGCCGTCGACCATACCGCCCGCTCGATGGCATCAGGGACTGTCAAATGCAATTGGGCATGCTCCAGGATGCTGCTATTCCAGTCGCCGCGTCGACTGCGCCGGCAATTCACCAGCCTCAAGAAGAACGCCACCTCCGTGTCAATCTGCGCATTGTCAGCCATGGTGACGTTTGAAAATTAACCGGAAATAATGTCCGGTTAATTACTCCTGTGATGCCCTTTTACCCAAAATTTGGACTCTTGTGCTGATTCGCGAAATCTGACTCTTGTAAAATGTACCGGTAAAGGTCATCAGGTTCACACTAATTTCAGTCATACACCAATTCGGTGTTGAATTGGTCGAAGAGTGAATTTGATTGGCCACTTGGATAGTGTTCTGGGTTTTGATTGGTTGATCGATTGTCTGCTGATTTGGTGCTTCTCATTCGATTGAGAACCCCACTCCAATTTCGAATCGACTTGACAATAGCACTTAGTACCAAGGATGAACTCGACGAATAATGCTCGTATTTGCAGGTAATATTAATCAATCCTTCTCACTTGGATGCAGTGACCACCGTTTACTTCATGCCGGCGACACCGGCAGAGAGCAACGCAGCCAAATCGTCCGCAGCGGCTTTAGCACGCCCACCTGCCGGCGCCGGCTTGGCCGCGTCCTCCTTGTGCTTGTAGTCTAGCTTGCCTTGTTGATGGCCAACTCGTCGCTCGGCAGTTTTGTTCTTGGCGGCAAGGAACGCTTCCTTCACCGCTTCTTCAGGAAATACTTCACGGGGGTGGCGCGAGTCGTAGTGGATGCGCATGTCGGGGAACGATAAGAACTCGTTCAAGCAAACGTCTACGACAAGCACAATCAATGCACTGCTGCGACGAATTCGTCCTCAAAGTAAGTGGACATACCGCATTTCACGCCGACTTTTTGACACTTGCGGTTTTCCAAGCCAGAGGCCCCACCACCGGCACCCCCAGCACGTTCCTTGGCAGCTTTGTGCTTCATGTTGATCTCCTTCGCGGTGTGCTTCTGCGTCTTAGCCTTGCCTCCCATGGTGTGTTGCGTCTGAAGTTGAAAATGGACAATTCAGTGTTGGGAATTGGGCTGAACCATCGACCATTCGATGCAAATGCCAGAGGTACAAATGATCCCACCAATCAATTTACGCCATATTTTTAGTTTTAGCCAATCATAGACGATTCGTTTCGCGTAATCTTGTTTTTTATCACAACGGGGATTAAAAATATCTCCTCTGCGCATTATACAATTTTTGTGTTGTCTTTTGCTTGAATTAAAAAAGACAATATTATTATTCCAGTGACCTTTCGACAAAGATCTCGCTCGTTACATGGTTTCGTCCGAACTGAACGGGATGTCGCTTGGAAGGCAGCAGGCGGGGTTTGAGGGTGGACATTGACTCGGATCAACGATTTCCGCGGCGCTCCCCTCGAAGAATATAGGCTTACCGCCTCGGTTGTCATTGAAGAACATGAAGTAGTCTGTACAGGTGTCCCCGCTGCAAGGCGCGTCTCGGAACCCAGCAGGAGTGTCAACACCACATGGACTGTTGCTGCAGTACCACGTCGAGCTGTACAGCCCGTTGTTGCCGTAGCAAATGTGCTGGCCCTGTGTACATCCTGGAAACACGACGTTTGGTGCAACCTACACGTCCTAGTCAGGTTCTCGCACTTGACTCGTCAACACGTACCGCAATGGAAGGTTTGCATGTGTCTTGACGATCCCCGACGTACACAAAGCCGCAGTCCGCGAATCGACTTGGCCCCGCCGCAACCTAGCTCCCATCGTGACGAGGACAAAATGATAGTGTTAAGTTATATATATTGTGCACCGCCAAATCACGACAGATTTTGAACGTTGGCTGCGAGAAGTAGGCCACATCGATGGCGTCGGACAAGTATTGATTCGACGTTGGACGGCATGCGGCGCAGAAGACAGACTTGAGGTACTCGGACGCCATGTTCTGGCCTTGCTTGCAAATGCGACCTACGCTGGGTGAGGCCAATATCGATGGATTCATACGGAAACGGACTTAGGACCTGTGTCCATAAGAGAAAAGTACGTGCTCGAGATCTGCGTGTCATGGATAGGCAGACAACACCGTTGGTCTTGGTTCCTAGTGCAGAATTGCAGCGGACTGGCTTTCGGCACCTACTCGACGGATTCTTGATTATTGGCAATTGGATGTAGAAATGCCAGTACGTACATTCTTGACTTGCTTGCGGGTCGTAGCATTGCACCACAGCAGGTCCAATGCAGGGTTGGATGCAGCGACGCCCGCAGCAGCCACCGCCAGGAACACCACGCGCCATACCATATTTCACTAATGTATGAAACCGAGGCAGTTACAATAGTTACGACAGTTACACTACCAACAGCTCTGATTGGGTAAACATTTGCATTACGGGGGTTTGATTGGTTCACGACAACCCAAGGCATTTGAAGTACTTACCAAACGTACAAAACACGAGAGTAAGTAGTGAAAATGGTATAAATACTGTACTAGTGTAAGTGGTGAAGATGGTATTAACGTTAACTACTTACTACCTACTAGTACTACTCAAAGACGAGTTCCGTTAACACATAAACCGGTTACAATTCGTCGGTCGCTTGACTTGACATGCCCAGGCAGTACTTGCCATACTCGTCATCAACAATTTCCATGGCCATATCTTCGTGAAACGGAGGTTTAGCCCCTCGATTGTCGTTCAACATCTTGAACACGCTGCTGCATGTGTCCTTAAAGCAAGGGACGTCCGCGAAACCCACAGGCACGTCCGAACCACACGTCGACGGGTGGCAGTACCACTGGGTCTCGTTCTGGCGGTAGCACACATGATCACCATCTCCGCAGGCCTTGAAAAATGCTCCAGGCGCAATCTACTTGCACGTGAGCGTGCCACGTCATAACTATGTGTGTTGCAACCCACGGCTTGCTTGGGTGTACAGAACTGGACTCGATCAACGTATGCGAAACCACAGTGGTCAAACAGCTCAGGAGATACTTGGGCCTACATTGGACGATGAGTTTAGGTGATGGCAGACAGACCCACGGCCAGCGAGCGACAGATTTTGAACGTTGTCGCAGACGTGAAGAATGTCTTGTTCGTGGGAGGCGAGAGGTAAAGCGGCGCGAGTGGAGAGCACGGGGAGCAAAATACTTTCTTTAGAGGGACGTGGCCAGTGTTGGTGACGTCGTGCTTGCACGAGACGCCTACAGCAGAGTTGTCGTCCAAGTGGCAATCAACTACTCGTCTACCTGTATCCATGAGCGCTGTATAGTAAGTTATGATCTGGGCTTCGTGTACTGGCATGCAACATCGTGGGTCTTGGTACTCGATGCAAAACGACAGCGGGCTCTTCGTGCTTACCTATGGCGCAAACCACTATTTTCTTGCCATGCAAGTACATTAATGCAGGTACATTCGCTTACATTGCCAACGGAGACCCCTGATGCCTTGCATATCATGTTAAATGTATCTACAGCTCCTGTCACTGTGATAGCGCATGCGAGCAAGATGATTGTGACCCTCATCATGATGTATCGAAGGATCAATCCTTCAGTTACACGTCAATCTAAAAAATTGCAAATTGGTGTTGGCCAACTATATAACACTAAATACGATTGAAGCAACATTACTGTAGTATGATCACACTATTTACCAATTCTGAAATCTGGTACACTATTTAACAGTAAGTACTCGACGAACCGTTTATCCGGATGCTGTCGATTGACCCATTGCCGTTGGAAATCTAGAATTAAATGACAGGGAGAAAGCGTGGATAATTAAATTCACGAAGTATACCCCCATTGGAGTGACTGGTCGATGGCTTCAAAACGACCTCACGACCACGACGACGACAGCACGCCCGACAACGTGGAGCTGAAATGGCGGCGCATGGTGGTGGGCGAAGCGGAGATTCGCTTGATGAGTCAAAAACCCAACTCGGACCGCGTGGTCGTGCATACTCCCGTGGCGCTGCATGGCGGCATCCACATCCAAGTCGACCCTCCGCCAGCAATTGTGTTTCACTCGTTCGACGAGCTCACGGACGCGTTGGGGGCCTACTTTGAAGCCACGCAGCAGGAATTCTCCATCCGGAACTCCATCACCGTTGAACACGCAAACGAGACGGCTGCTCGAAGCGTCCGCTTCCCAGAGAACGACGTCCGGTTCAAGTACTCGTCCATGACGTACGTGTGCAAGCACGGGCGCACCCAGAAGCGCCGCAACAACCCCGATCTGGCCAAGACGAAGAAGGTCAAATTCGCGTACTCGGGGTGCCAGGCATGTTTGTGGATCAACCTCGTGCTGCTCGGTCCTCCTGGCGCGCGGCGATGGGTGTACCACGTCCACAAGATGGTCCATGTGCACAACCATGAGCTGAGCGTGGAGAATTCCGTCGCGTCGCTGCGGCCGTTCCGCGCCTACCTCGACTTGATCTACAACATGAAGCATGCAGGAGCCTCTCCCCAAGACATGCTCACGATGCTGGCAACTCGTGAACCCAGTACGTCGCTCGATCTTTATCAAAATCGCTCATGTTTTTCCGTCTTAGCCAAGAAAATCACCATCCAGACCGTTCGCAACATTCTGCGCAACTACGCGGCGGAACTGGCGGCCCCGACCCCGCCGCCCCGCCTTCGCCCGCATCAAGTCCCGCGACTCTTGCATGCGTCGTCCTCGACCAATCCCTTTCCAGCGCTTCCGTCGGCCTTTCATCCGTTGTTCTCGTCCTTGGTCAAGGCGTCCATTGAACAGCCGCATGTGCCAGGCTACTCCATGGCGTCGCGCTTCTTCTACCTCAATCTGTGCTCGATCCAGTCGATTCTGCAGCGGTCGTGGCAGGTCGTCCAGAGTAATGCTACCCAACAATCTCCTCTACCGCCTCCCTCCGACTCGGCCGAGAAGACCTTCCACGCCACTATCCTCACGACCGTCGCCGCCGACGGCACGTCCCCCATGCCGCCGTTTTGCGTGTTTCCGACACCGCCCGCGTCCGGCGGCAGCCGCCTGCATCAAGTTGGTCCGAATGTGGTTATGACCGACCGCGGCCTCGCCACCCCCGACGCGATGGAGTGCGCCATCCTCTACTTCCATGCGACTTTGCCTCCGCGACTGCCGCGGCCCGTGGTGCTCGTCGTCGAACACGCGTCGCCGTCTCCGTCGCTCCTTCAACTGTGCACTCGGTATGGTGAATTCTTTGGCTATATACACGTGGTTTTGTAATCAATCTTGACAATTCGCGCTGAACATTGTGATTGGCTGAATATACGTGTCTTATTTGAAATAGCCAATCAAAAAAACTCTCAAAGCTTGATTTTCGCCCATCGCGTCGTGATTTATATATTAGATTTCGATTTTGGATGGAAATTATTTTTGTACCGAATCTCCATAGTATTCTTCTCAACGCTTTCGTTGTTGGTGGTCGTGTTGCGAGTCCTAATTACTACCGTTGGTTTCGAGTACTACTACTAGGACTACTACTACCACTAGTACTAGTACTAGTAGATTTAACCGTGCTGTTTCGTTCGATGGTAGACGCAAGATCATTTTGGTATCGTGGAAAGATCTGTACGCTGGAGACAAGGATGTAGTACAACCCATTCGATCGTGCCTGCTCACTCCATTTGAATCCCAGCTGTGCCACCAACTCGGGCTGGTGCTGCCGCATCTGGCGACCACCGCCGCCATCGTGTCCGACCTCCCGCCCATCGTCGCCCACACCTACCAAACGTGCGTGGCGCAGGTAGGATCTGCCGCCATCGCCGACGCCTTTCGAGAAAGCGGTCTGCATCCGCCCAATCTGCCGCAACTGGCTGCTGGCACACCTGTGATGCCGCTGCCCAAGGCGACAATTGTAGTCCAAGAACACCGCACGGCGACCATCTCCGTCCAATCCAACGCGATGCCCCGCTTCGCCATCGAACGACGAGCGTAACAGATTAACTAGTATTTTAATATTATTTTATGTATTGACGTCTGAATTAAAACTGTAAGTATTAATATTGTGCTTTCGAGTGAAATTTCGTGTTGTGGCGTGGTTTCTCGTTGGAATTTAAATCGATTTGATTGGCTACCTCAGGTGAGCTCAAAATTATTAGCCAATCAAAACCTTGTCAATGTAATTCAACCAATCCGATCGGTTGTGGATCGGTTTGGTCGGCGCGATTCGATTGCACCCCCTCCCCAAATTTGTATCAAATCGACAATAGTAATTCGAACTATGAATTCGCTATAAACTTGCGGGGTTTTCTCATCAACATATCGTCGGATTGGCTGAATATTGTGTAAGAGCCAATCAGATCCACTCAGAATGTATGTATTACCCAATAGTGTCGATTCAATTGCACAATACTCTAATTATTACAAGTACTAACTTCAGAGTATCAATAGTCCTGTACATATTCAACACTTTATACTTGGCCAATTTCAGGTTGTTCGAGGTTTGCTTTCATGACGCTGCTTGCTGCGTGACAAATTTCTCCCACACGTACGCCGCCTCGGCTTCTTTCCCAAGCAACGCCTGGGCCTATGATTTCAACATGACGATGGTTTCGCAGCAACGCCACGTACATGCCGCTGCGCTTGGACGCGTCTCGCTTCATCGGCCAAGGCGAGTTCTGTCCGCAGATCGCTCAGCTCCTTCTCCAGGCGGTGACATCGCGCGGCATCCTCCGCGGCGGCCATCTTGGCTTCGTCCAACTAATCTCGGTCCCTCCAATAGTGAGCAATTTGTGCAGTAGATGAAGCGTTGCACCATGCGTTTGCAAGCAACGCGTTCGACGTGGATGCGGTCGTCTGCCGTGGTGGCGCTGCGGAGCGCCTTGTGGAATCGGTCCACTTGAGCTTGCCATTGTGTTTTTTCTGTTGTGCATTCATATAATATCGTCAAGTCGATTCGAAATTGGAGTGGAGACAATCGATATACGACCAATCAAAACACCCAGAACACGAATCAAGTAGCCAATCAAATCAACTCTTCAATCAATACAACACCGAATTAGTGTGTGACCTGTGATTAGTGTGATATCGGACGATTTTACATACAAAAGTCAGGACAAAGAATCGATCGATAGATTTGGCAAAGAATCCGCACAAAAGTCAACCAAATTTTGGGTTCAAGGGCAATATTTTTATAAATAAATATTATTTGGATCAAATCTCCACCTTGTTGCAAATCCAACACGGCCACTTTCAACCGAGATATCCGCGTGTCCCGCCTTGCAATGCGGTCCGACATGTCGACCTGGACGCGACCGAGCATGGATTTGGCCTCGTCCAGCTGCTCCACAACGAGCTGCATGTCCTTTCGGTGTTGTGCATCCACCTGCGGAATCGTCATGAGTCCTATCGCTTGTTCCATTGACTCCAACGACATATGTACCGTCGCATGCATTTGCTCGAGCACGGCGCATTGCCCATGTAAAACTTTCACTTTGGCGTCCAAATCAACCACTCGCTTCTCCGCCTTCTTCCGCGTAGTTCTTTCTTGGTCTAAGGATGCCTGTAACATGGTCAACTCTTGCGCGGACGTGTCGGCCGCGCGGAGCTGCCTCCGCATGTCCACCGCATCAGCGTCCAGCTGTTTCCGTTCGGTTTCTTTGGTCAAGATGGCTCGCGTTTGACTCGCCACTGTGGTTTCGAGATCCTGGATTCGGTCCATGCATTCGGACAAGGCGGACGACCGCGCCTGGATTTCCGAAGTTGAAGCACTCAATTGCGTGGACAAGTTGGCGATGGTCGTCGCGTCCTTGGCTGCCGACGCTTCCCTTCTCGACAACTGCATGTGCCACGCGTGGCCGTGAATATGCACGCGAGAGGGCTAGTCGTGCCGTACCTCGATACGCAACTGCCGCACTTCACTGGATAAGTCGGCGATGAGCGCTTCGTATTCTTCGTGCATCGCTTGAGCCGCCTTCATCTGAATTGTCAACGGTTGGTCTCCATCTCTACTTCGCCCTCCATCACGCACTGGAATGGGATGTCTGTGTGGGAGACTGGGACTGTCCTTGGCCTCCTCCAGTGGACGGTGAATGTACTCGGAGTAATGGCTCAGGTCCTTCAAGTTCGTCACAGCTTTGGTGAGAGCCTTCTGGAACTCCTTGTTCTCCCGCTACGAGTCACCTTCACGTGTTAGACGTCACATAGGACGTCCACGCGTGTACCTTGAGAGCCGAAAGGTCATCGATCAACAGCGGGGCCGACATATGAAAGATCCCACCAATTGGACAAAGCTGAAACATCCGGAATATTATCCGGATTTGTATTGCCCGCCATTATTATCATGTCAAAATTATTCGTTTTATTCCAATATGCCGCGCGAGATCATCACGCTCCAAGTGGGGCAATGCGGGAACCAAATTGGGTCCGAGTTCTGGAAGCAGCTGTGCGTGGAGCATGGTATCTCACCCGATGGCATCGTGCAGGACTACGCCACCCAGGGGAACGACCGGAAGGACGTGTTCTTCTACCAAGCCGACGACGAACACTACATTCCTCGCGCGCTGCTCATGGACTTGGAACCCCGCGTGATCAATTCCATCATGAACTCGAGCTACCGGAATCTATACAACCCCGAGAACACATTCATCGCCAAAGATGGCGGGGGTGCCGGGAACAACTGGGCCTCTGGGTACAACCAAGGCGAACAACATCACGACTTGCTCATGGAAATGATCGACCGCGAAGCCGACGGCAGCGACAGCTTGGAAGGGTTCGTGCTGTGCCATTCGATCGCCGGCGGGACTGGCTCCGGCATGGGGTCGTACCTTCTCGAGAACTTGAACGACCACTTCCCCAAGAAACTCATCCAAACGTACTCGGTGTTTCCGAATCAAGTATGTCCTTTCCATGCTTCTTCCTCTGTATCATGTGACGACGTTCTGACATCTAGGACGACTTTCAAAGCGATGTCGTTGTGCAACCGTACAACTCCCTCTTGACCCTTAAGCGCCTCGTCCTCAACAGCGATTGCGTTGTCGTGCTCGATAACACTGCGCTCAACCGCATCGCCGTTGACCGCCTTCGCATCGACAACCCCACCGTGTCCCAGGTTCGATGAGCATATTGCATGTCCATGGAGAATGACACGTTCGTTCGTCCGTTCTCAGCTCAATTCGCTCGTGTCGACGGTCATGGCGGCCTCCACGACCACACTACGGTACCCTGGATACATGAACAACGATCTCATTGGGTTGGTCGCGTCCTTGATCCCCACCCCTCGCTGTCACTTTCTAATGACTGGGTACACTCCGTTGACCATCGATGCCCAGGTACCATCTACTAGTACTCGTCCACGTCGTTAACTTACACTCTCTGATATATTAACATACCACCATCCACAGGTTTCTGCCGTTCGTAAAACTACCGTCTTGGATGTCATGCGTCGGTTGCTTCAGGTACGTACATATTCATATGTATATCTTCTATATATAAAATATCAACATGGTGAAGAATGAATATATATATATATAATATTTCGACGTCGAAGGAATATTATATTTATATACATATTGATGCTGACAGTGAATAAATAAATGTATATATATATATATATATATATTTATGTGTATCTATATATATATTTATGTGTATCTATGTATATATATATATATATGTATATCTATATATGTATATCTATATATTTATATATATTTATGTATATCTATATATATATTTATGTATATGTATATATATGTATATTGATGTTGAATGAATATATCAAATACTTCGAAGTATATTCTGAACAATCGCGTCCGATTATTTTCAATCGATATCGTATAATATATATATATATATATATATATATATGCGTTGTGTGATTATTTTGCATCGATACCTTGCAGTTCCATTCATTGAACGGGTGCTAATATTATGTAGCCCAAAAACATCATGGTGTCGACATCGACCAAGACGGGGTGCTACATTTCGATCTTGAACATCATCCAAGGCGATGTCGACCCAACCCAAGTGCACAAATCCCTCCAGCGTATTCGCGAGCGCAAGTTGGTCAAGTTCATTCCATGGGGACCAGCCAGCATCCAAGTTGCGCTCTCCCGCAAGTCGCCGTACGTTGAAAGCCCGCACAAAGTGAATGGACTCATGCTGGCCAACCACACGAGCATCGCCAACGTACGTCGTTTGTCTACATACGCAAGCTTCTTGTTTATTATGGGTTGGTTTGTCTAGTTGTTTCACCGGTCGGTCGTGCACTACGATCGCCTCCGAAAGCACAACGCGTTCATTGACCAATACCGCAAGCAACCCATGTTCGCAGATGGATTGGAGGAGTTTGACAATGCCAGGGAAGTGGTCACGAGTATGATCGAAGAGTACAAGGCCAGCGAGCGCGCAGATTACGCCACGTGGGGCCAATCCACGCCCGCCGTGTAGGACCTCCAAGCGTCATAATGTGATGCCGTTTCATCCGTAGAATGCCAATTGTTGCTATACAACTTATTTTGTTAAAATGACCATAAAATTCGTGATTGAGGCAATCGTTTTTGAATCGTAAAGTGCCCTAAATTGGGCACATATTTCAGCGCAATCAATCCACCAATCATCAACGTGCAATGTATATATTTCGCACCACAATTGAGCTGTATATTGTATACCTCTTACGCTTTGTCCTCGTGTTGTACTTCACCAAAATGTCAGCAATTACTACGTAGTACTACTACTCACTCATAGCACATAGTACTTTTGGCTGGTAGTGTTGCATCAAAAGTAACTCCCATGGGTCAAAACCATTCAAGTTGCCAAAGTTCTTCGAACATGCCAAGTTAACTCGACGACGTGACGGCAAGGTGATATGGTATGTGAAGTGATTGGTAGTTTACAATTAGTGATCGTTAAGAGTTTGAAAAGGGAGGTAGGTACTACTCTGTTCCGGGAAAAGAGGTGTCTATAATTCTATCTTGGTTAAAGTATACTTCGAGAGTGAAAACACGCCGCTGCGCTAGTGAGCTGGCAGGAACTAGGAATGCGCTTCGCGCATGAAATAGCACTTGAGTACCTCAAAACAAATGAAATGTATACACAACAACGTGCCCACGAAGAGCCTGACACCTCGGAACCCCGGCGTTCTGGAACCTACACTACATAAGTGAAGTGAAGTCTTCAATTTCAGGGGTTTGGTGCATCGCCAGTGGTTTGCTATCGCTAACCCCGGGCAATGCGCCAAACCCCTCACGAATATCAGAAGCAAGCTTACCTCCGCTACGCTGCGAAAGGTCGCGCACCCCCACACATATCAGGAAAACGTTCAAGGTGCGACGAGCTCCTAGTCATAGTGGCCTCCAATGCGAATTACTCGAGTAGAAACTGTGGCAAATCGATTTCGCGTAGCGAGTTGATCCCGTCACTGTACTGCTGTACTATGAAAATCCCGTTACCGTTGCGAGCACATCCTCCGGACACGGCCATAATTCAAACCGCCGCAAGTAACCCTACACCACAGTTCTTGATAAAATATTAACGTTAATCAAATAAAAATTGCGAAAAGTGTTCCTACACCCGCGGCTTTCGGTAAAGTATTGATCGCCCAACGCATTCGTGTTGAGTGCAATCAAATTAATCGAGTGTACCTGCGGGAATGTCGTTGAAAAGTGTGGTATAAGGAGTAGAGGTATACTGTACCCATCTCGTCCACTACTTAACTTTATCTGTACTCATACTTTGGCGTTAGAATTGGTCGTGATAAGCTTACTGTATTGTCGATTTGATACAAATTTGGATTCGTTGCCATTCGACACACACCACCCTTGTATTTTTTTACTTTTCTGCTTGGAAATGCTCAATCTGGGAAAGCTTAATCACTAACGCACATGGTTTTCTGCATAACGATTTGTGCATTGGAAACTCGAAAATCTCAGTCACATTGGTCTGTATCACGACGAATTCTAACGCCAAAGTTAGAGTATTGTACTTTCGAGTGAAATTTCGTGTTGTGGCGTGGTTTCACGTTGGAATTTAAATCGATTTAATTGGCTAACGTTGCCTCAGATGAGCTCAAAATTATTAGCCAATCCAAACCTTCTCAATGAAATTCAACCAATCAGATCGATTGTGGATCGGTTTGGTTGGCGCGATTCGATTGCTCCGGACCAAATGCATTCAAAGTAACGTTAGGCTGTTGAAAAGCGCGCGAAACGCACTTCAACATGCATTGTCAACTACTGAAGTATTGGAGTGCTATGATTGGTTCCAACTTGCACAGTCTCTATTCGTTTTCACACGGTCGATATTCACAACCAACTGATCGCATGAAGTCGTTCACATGTGCGGCGATCCAGGACGGGGCCGTCTTTAGGGTGACACTGGAAGACGGCCAGCAAGTATTCGACCTCAAGGATGCGATCAAGGAGAAATGGGGGTGTGCATATCCTCCGCATGAATTGTCGCTCTACCTAGCGAAGCAGGACACTAGCTGGATCAAGGCGACCAATCCCGAAGTGATGATGTTGTGGTCTGGCAAGGTTGGTGCCCAGGTCAAAGCGCTGTTGGAAAACAAAGCGATGCACCCAAGGATGAAATTGGGTACATTCGACCTCCCCAGCAACGACAGCGACGACATCCACGTGTTGGTGGCTGTCCGCAGGAGATGGTTGACGTGTGCGATGGTCGGGGTCGGGACAATCATCTACATTGACATCCTCGATTACAAGACTGTCCTCGACCTGCAGAAGGCAATCAGCGAGAGTCCAAACTTTGCATTGGATGCGGATTGCATGGACCTGTACGTGGCGAAGAAGGGCAGCAAGTAGCTCACCGTCAACGACCTGAAGGTGGTCAAGTCGAGTGGAATGGCAACGTTGACGACTGCCGGTGGCCAATTGATGCAGCCGCGCACTGCACTAGGTACTTACAACTTCCCCGGCGAGGTGGCCTACTACGAAGAAGACGGCGACGTCGACGACGTGCACGTGTTGGTGGTGTCCGTGCCGCCTGCCCGCGAAGTCGCTTCCAGCGTGACGATTTCGTGTGTGGCAATCGGAGTTGGGACACTATTTACCCTCAAGGTCCGTGACAGCGTGAGCGTGTTGGGTCTCAAAAACGCAATCCACACGAGATACCAGTTCCCTGTGTACGACCTCGACCTCTACCTGGCGCAACGAAGCGATGGCACTTGGATAAAGGAGGATGACCCCGATGGAATGGTACTCAAGTCTGGACATCTATCTGGGGCAATCAAACCGTTGATGACACCAGCGACCATGATGGACGATGCAACTCAAGTGCGCGCATTGAACCTCCCCGACGACGACAGCAACGACATCCACGTCTTGGTAGCTGTCCGCAAGCGATTGTTGACGTGTGCGGTGGTCGGGGTAGGGACAATCTTTTTCGTCGACATGCGCGATCACAAGATGGTGGAAGACCTGCAGGACGCCATTCGCCAGAGTCAGAAGTTTGCATTTCCATCAACCTCCCTGAACCTGTACATTGCGAAGAAGGACAACACGTGGCTCACTATCCACGATGCCGACGTGAAGCTCGTGAAGACTGGCAAGATTCCAAGTGGAATCAAAGCGATAACGACTGCAGGTGGCCAACTCATGGCGCCACATTCGCCACTTCATTCTTTCAACTTCCCGGGCGAAGTCGTTTACGTGGCAGGCGTCGACATCGATGCCATACATCTGTTGGTGACGGTGCCGAAATCGCACCAAAAGGCCTCCAACGTGGCGATATCGTGTGTGGTGGTCGGGAGCGGCGTCAGCGTGGCAATTGTGATAGACGAGCGCGACACCGTCTTGGACCTGAAGAAAGCAATCACGGAGCGCATGGAGTTTCCATTTCCTGCGTTTCAATTGACGCTGTACGTTACGAAGACGAACAACAGCGACTGGCTCCAGTGGAGTGACCGCGATGCAATCGAGCTGACGTGTGGAGAGATCCCTCGTGGAATCAAACAACTGATGTCGGACGTGGCCAAAATGGACTCCGAATCCATCTTGAGCGCATTTCACTTCGTCGACGACGAAGTGCCCATCGGAGATGACATTCACGTGCTTGTGGACCTGCCAGCGCATACAAAGGCCCATTACGCTAGTTTTGAAGTTGAGCTTGAAAATCCCGTCATAGGGCGATCGGTCACGTCGATTTCATCGCCTTCTACCTGGTGTTGGGTGTCACGAGTGCTTTCGCCATTGAGGACTCTATTGAGGACTCTATTGTTGTCGAAAAAGGACGACTAGCGTTGTGGACGAACCTATGTGCTGGACATGACCTTGATTTTGAATGTTAATCGGTGGGATGATAATTCAAGCAACTACAACGTATGGTGCACTTCATCTAAAAGCTTCCAACTGGCCAAATTGAAGAGTGGAGGTTTTATTATTTAACGTGCAATTAATGTAGTTAAACCCAAAATCTAGATACGTTAAATACCGATTTCATGCGTTTTATCACTTGGAGTGGGAGGTTAAAGGTCCCAACTGCCTCCGGATGTTAAATACGGATAAGAGTCACATACAAAAATCAAGATACATTTGAGCGGCCACCCCTATGGCCAAATATCCAAGCGCCCATGTAAAATACTGCTAGGTTAAATATCTATTTCTGGACCAATTAATCACAAAATTTGAATCTGAGACGTAGAATTTCTTCACCACATTGAGATCTGTCGATTATACGTCTCAATTTGCTGCAATTTTGAGTAATGAATATGAAATAGAAGCCAGAAAATTTTGTGAAAAGTTGGTAGTTTATAGATGACGTGCACCATACTACTCATGAAGATGTCGAATTCAAGGCATGGGATTTCGATGCAGCATCGTAGTTTACTCGTAGGGATAGCATTTACTGTTAATTTACCGAAACTCTGAGGTCATCATAAAGACATCAATATCGACCTCATTTCTCAAAGGAAAGCCCCGTGTATTGGCGTCAAGCGCTCCACCTGGTCACAAGCAGGGCTGGGGAAAAATATATTTAAATCAATTTTAACTTGTCAATCTATAATTTCAATACGTATATTGTCGTTCGGAAGAACAATTCATAATTTTATTGAAATTTGAACAACCTAAAAATTCAATATTCTGACTCGGAACAATTATTGTCCATATTTTCGATAATTCCGACCTAAACGATGGTCAAAGTAACAAGCTAAGGCCTTGGCGCGTAGCATGTCGGTTTGACGATCAGGCGGTGGTGGATGGGCCCTGGGTTCAATTCCCGGGGTGCGCCAAATTTTCCCTGAAAATGTATATATTTTTAAGATGAATATTTTCAAACAAATGGTACTGTTTAAACTATTAATATTCGAACTCATCGAACTCGTCATCATCACCCCCTTCAACCTCTTAGTCCGGACTTGTGTCGTCAGCACGGTGGCGAAGAAGTTTCGGTGCGCAGAGTTCACGTGTTGGGCAAAGTTTTGGTAGCGAGTCGACTTCCTGATGATGATGATTGTGGATGTCGCGCACCGGCGACACTTGAACCGAGTTACGATGCGGTGCTTGCGAGTTTTGGGGTCGCGGACGACGATTCTTCGATTTTGTCGAAGAAGAGTTTGGCGAGCTCCTTTGGGGAGTACTAAATTTAGTACGAGGTATAAGGGCGCTTTGAATCATACTGTGCGTTTGTTGCGTCTCAACTTGACGGACCTTGCGAAGTCCGATCCAAAGGCAAATCACAAAGTGAATTCCCCCCAGTGGCCAAAGTCACTGGGGCTTAACCCTAACCTAATCAGACAGCTGCTGGACAGCCAATAATCTAACTAGCGAATAGGATCGCACAGAGGATATCCAACCTAAGCGAACACTTGGATACCTTCTTGGGAGGGG